GGATGGATGGATGGATGGATGGATGGATGGATGGATGGATGAATGGAGGGAGGGATGAATGGAGGGAGGGATAGATGGATGAATGGAGGGAGGGATGGATGGATGAATGGACGGATGGACGGATGGATGGATGGATAAACGAGCAGATGGACGGACGGACGGATTGATGGTTGGGTGGATGGATCGATAGATGGATGGATGGATGGACGGGCGAATGAATGAATAAATGGATCAATGGATGGATGGATGGACGGGCGAATGAATGAATAAATGGATCAATGGATGGATGGATGAAGCATCACATGTCGCGTGCGAACCTTTTTCGTAGTTGTTGAAGCTGGCCGGCTCCACGATGGCACCCACGTCCGTGTGCGCGAATGCGCTCAGCTCGCACCTTGCTGATCCGCTCTCCACCACTTCCACGTTAAAGCCAATACAGCCAGCAGTCTTTGCGCACGCGGCCGAGCATTGCAAGGCGCTGCGCAGTCGAGACGGTCCCTCCTCTAGCAGACAGCCTCTGACCGCGTGTCCAGTCAGAGCGAGAGCAAATTCGGCCGCCATCGCAGCCGCAGCGAAGCAGACAATGAAAAGCCCCTTGAAAGCGTACACCGAGGCCGTCCGGGGTTTCATCGCGAATACGGTGTTTATAATAATTCTACGCACCGTAAAAAAATCACGACTAAGACAAAAACGTTATGCATATACGACAACAGGTTATCTGCTTGATATTTTGCTACTGGCATCACTCGCACCTGTACGCGCACATACGAGACGCCAACTGTTCGGCAGGTAGCAGTGGTATTTGTAACAATTATATACTTAATTATTGATCGTAGTTGCCTAGCAGGAAAATAGTATATATCCCGAGGACTTGGGAAAACGGAGAGAGGGGAGAGGGGCGGTTATACCTGGTTAATTGAATTGCTCACCCCCTTACTTTAGGTAATAAACATTTTCATATATCTTCATTGATGTGCCTGAGACAAAGTTGATGAAATATAGAAATAAAGATACATATGAATATACGAAGAAAGCTGCTGAATATAGCACCCTAAAATGTAATGCTATTGACCACATAACACTTGCAAATACAACATTTCATAAATATTTCACATGATGAGTTATTTATACCTCATACATTAGCGCTCTCTTTGGTACCTCAGGGCATATAGAAAGAGACGAGAGAACCAATTAGATCGATGCCGTGCGTGTGCTGTGACGTTATCGGACAAAGGCCGAGTAGTAGCATAACAGCATCGAATAGAATTAAAGGCTACGTGAAAACAAGGTGACCTTCTCAAAACATGAAGTTCATGTGCGCGTGATTCGTAAATGATTACGATAATATTATAACGATAAAATATATAAGTATATCGTTATACGATATAAAAATATAAAGTAATTACGTTAAAATATAATTTATTTAGTTTTTTAGTTTTTAAGTAAAGGGCCATAATTTAACCGCGGTGAAAATGATTATTTCTGAGTAGCCTACGATGTCTACCCATACGCTCGGATCGTGTGATTTTCCCCCCATTCAGATAGTGGTGTCAGTCTGAGTAAAGAAGAATCATGCTGGCGGGCAGCGTTCATTATCGAGAAACAGCTACAATATAGTGTCTCTCCTCAGTTTTAGCACTTCTCAGCTGCTGTCAATATTGATTTTTGGCGGGTAATGTTGAATTTTATTCCATGACACGTGACATGTTGCAGAATGCAATCATGCCATGCTAATGAACACTGCATGTGGATTGCAATAGGAAAACTTTCATTTTTTGTTATCAACTATAGAGAAGAATGAGGAGATTTTGTCGGTTTTTAAATCGGCAAAAGTAAGGTTGCCGCGTGACCACGCACACGCTCACACATACCATAGCACATACGCACTTGTAAGCACGCACGCGCGCACCCCCACACACACAGTATGTCAGTGACACACGCACACGCACACGCACGCACACGCACACGCACACGCACACGCACACACACACACACACACACACACACACACACACACACACACACACACACACACACACACACACCAATTCATACACATATTTATAAGTATGGATTAGCTATAGATGTTCATGGCAAAGTTGTAGAGTATTAAAAATTAAAAATTATTAAACTTGAATAACTAGGCCTACATATTTTATGCTCCGAGGAATCCGATGCTTGTTTCCAATGCCCCGACAACGAATCCGAGGCTAGTTTCCGGTGCTCGAATGTCAATGGCGCCAACGAAAACATTTACGAAGTTGCGTTTGATCACTAATAATGTTGTCATCCACAAATAAGAAACGCGTTAAAAAAGTAAAGAAGGATCCTAATCCATTATTTACTAAATGGTTAACAGAATGGCTAGATGAAGCTGCTGCTAAAGGGACAAAGTGCCATTTTTTATATGTAAAAGTACGTCGGTCACTACGTTGTAGGCGACGTTACAACTTACGTACAGTACTAGTACTAGTACTATCGGCCTACTACTACTATCAGTATCAGTATCAGTAGGCCTATCACTAGTGAGTAGGGCCTAGTGCCAGTGCCACTCACACAGTCACAGGCACTTGGAGCGTTTCAATAAAATATAATAAATAGTATACGAAATCTATTTACTAGTACTACCAAAGTCTTAATGTTTCACTACTCTCTTTCACCTATTACTATTAGTATTAGTATTATTATCGCTGTGGCTATATGCCCGGCAGCCGGGCACGGTCTTCGTTTTCCTAAATGCCCGGCAGTTCTTAACCCCAACTCTAACCCTAACTCTAAACCTAACAAAAACCCTAACTCTAGCCCTAAACCTAACCCTAACCCTAACCCTAACCCTAATCTTAACTCTAACCCTAACCCTTGTTTACTTGAGATAACGCTAAAAATTAAAAACTGCCGGGCATTTAGGAAATCGAAGACCGTGCCCGGCAGCCGTCAGATATACGCCGGCTGCCGGGCATATAGCCACTGTGTATTATTATTGCCGACAATTTTCTGTAAATGCGGTCCAAATCCTCATCGGCAACACACGCTGGCTGCCGCACGCTAGCTGCTGCACACTGACTAGCTCTAGTACTATAGCTGAGAGGGTCCCCCAGGTTACTGCCGGAACATACCCTGGGTGTACCCTGGTACCAGAGCATATAAATCAACGTGATTTATATGCTCTGCTGGTAGTATCTAATATGCCGGACCGTACCTCGGCCGCCCTCAACTAACGAGTCTAGGGAGTCGCCTACGCCTACTCCCTAACCTTAACCCTAACCATATCAGATAGTTACCAGGGTACGTTCCGGTATACCGGACCGTACCCAGGGTACATTCCGGCAGTACCCTGCAGTGCTCAATTTTAAGGTTTTTTTTGGGTTGTCCTGAGGACAACCAAGAGAGTAGCATATGGTTGTCCCTCAAGAATTTTGGTTGTCCGGATATTATTTAAACATGTGCTGCATGCGCTCTGCTCACTTGATGCTTGAGTGCTTGAGTGCTGTAAAGCAAAAGGCCTATAAATCATGTACATTATCGAGGCCGGCCCACTGATCTCTATAGTAACTGGCTTATAAATGACAAATGACAAATGAGCGAGTGGGCGTAGGGCGAGTGCGCGCGATACATGTACATACACGTGATGTTATACATTGTATGAAGCAAGCCAGACAATGCGTCTAGACATGTACGTTTGCAGCGTATTGTGCAACCCTGGCCGTATGTAAAATGAACGCGCGCTCGCTGGTGTCCTGCGAGCGATGAACGAGAAGAAGCGTGCACTGTCATTGCTTATTTCAAAGTTTTGGATAGCAACATTGTTGAAATTACTATCTAAAAAAGGGATACCCAGGCTTTCATTTTTAAGGGGCGCGAGCGCGCTCGCGCTCCACCGCGCACCCGAAATTGTGCCATAGTGCGTGCATCATCGCGCCTCATAAAAGTGGTTGAAATCGCGCACCAAAAGTATGTGTATTATGTTTCACTCTAGACTGAGGATTGGTCATGATTCCATCATCACACCCCAAGAGGCATGATGGAGAGCCCTCAAGGAGCTCTCGATCATCCCTTTTAAGGGTGTGATTTTTAGTGGAGCTTTCCATCATGCCTCTTAAGGGTGTGATTTTTTAGTGGAGCTCTCCATCATGCCTCTTAAGGGTGTGATTTTTTAGTGGAGCTCTCCATCATGCCTCTTAAGGGTGTGATTATGGAGCGTGAAAAGACCCCCTATGGTGTCCTAGGGGAGTCATTATTAGTCCTCCTGTACTTTTCAAATCTGAAAGCCTGGATACCAGATCTTTCGGGGGGATACCAAATTTCAAATACCTGAATAGTGTACGTGTACCGCCAACACTGGTATAGAAAGCTCAGGTTATTGATTTTATAGAGGTTGGACACCGGACAACCACGGAAGCAATTTGTAGTTGCCCGAGAGAAAATCCAGTCGTCACGGACGACCGGACGACTGTTAAAATTGAGCCCTGCCCTGGAGGACATAGACCCTATGAGCAGTACTATAGCCCGCGTACAGTTGCCGCAGGGCTATAGAACATTCTATGACGAATCTTCGGGACCAACTTATTCACGGTTAATCACGGCTATAAATCGTCTGTGGTAGGCAATTAATCAGGAGTCTATCAATATTGATATCAATATTGATAGACTCCTGAATTAATGCACATAAATATATGTGTCAGCTAGTGTGCAGCAGCTAGCATGCGACAGCCAGCTTGTGTTGCAGGTAAGCATTTGGACCGCATTTACAGGAAATTGTCGGCAATAATAGGTGAAAGAGAGTAGAGAAACATTAAGACTTTGGTAGTAAATAGATTTATTTTACTATTATTTAGTAGATAATATAGTATATGTATATATTTAGCATTATATTTTATTGAAACGCTCCAAGTGCCTGTGGTGCCACTGAGGTCGGCCAACTCGGCTTGTAGATAGAGAGATAAAGATTTATTTCGACAATTAACAAAGTATACATTAGAACGATAAGAGCATGAAGTGTGTTGTGGTCTTGTGGATGTAGATGAGATGACCCGCCTGGATATCGGGCAGCTCAACTCAGACTACACGCAGACTTGATTTATTTATTATGATTTATTATATGACTAATATTATGATTTATTATTATTATTTTATATATTACACAAGGTATTCCCAGAAAAATGCTACATCAATTCATGTAGACGGGCCAGTGCAGCAGTCTAGAATTAGAGAACGACTAAAAGTGCCTCCAATAGAATACCTAATTAAATACCAAACATATTTATATACAAATTCATCTTTTCTCTATTTTTGCTCCATGTATAAGACGTGTTTTCGGTACATGTATTTGTATTTTAACTATCTCAAATGAGTTGGCCCGTGAGTCGAGCTGCCCAATCAACAGGCATGTCATCTCGACTCACAAGCCAAGCTGCCCGACCTCCAGGCTCGCCACAATGTGAGACGAATTGGCGGATGGGTCGAGTTAACTGGTACCCCCTAGAGCTTGGTTATTGTGCCGCGGTACAACTAATAATTTAGCAACGCTCTACCCGCCTTCTCTCCATCACTTGTGTCGTGGCGGATGCAAAGGACTCGATCATCATTGGTCAGCAGCACTCGTTTTTTGATCATCTCCACGGTGACATGCCGATGACCTACGTACGTGACCTCTGTGACTTTTTCTCTCACCTGGCAAACTCCAAGATTATAAATTGGATACGCCCACCAGAAAGCCATCACAGTCTTGTAACAACCCCTGTCTATCTATCTATCCGTCTATATATGCATCCATCCATCCATTCATCCATCCATCCATCCATCCATCCATCCATCCATCCATCCATCCATCCATCCATCCATCCATCCATCCATTCATCCATCCATCTATCCATCCATATATCTATATATACCTAAGCTAGTTTTCTGTATATATGACTAGTATTGTTGTGTAACATAAATTAATTGGAGATTATTATTTTATTTTATTGTTACACAGGCACTGCGATCACTCAGCAAGTACCCACTTGTACTGAAAAGTGGAAAAGAGGCAAAACTTCTGAAATATTTTGGTAGGTCCAGCCATTTATCGTTAGCTGGTTTCTTTCGTTAAGCATTGGATAGAGGATGAGAGTCGTAAGACTGTCTAGTGAGGCGATTAAGCGTTCTCTGCTGCCTTAGCTAAATTTTGTCCTAGGGAAAAGTAGTGCATGACTGAGGACAAAATGCTGGTAAACCTCATGATTGTGATTGTAATCATTTATTTTTAATTGTATGGCTTCTTGGAAGTGAAGAAGGTGAGTCATCGTCAGTCTCAAACTTGAGTAGCAAACTTACATCATTTGACTGCACATTATGAGTTTAACCATGTTATACGCATCGCTGAATGTTTTATTTTAATTTTAGGTGATAAAATCTGTGGGATGTTGGACGAAAGGCTTGCGAGACATCGGTCAGAATTTGGTAATTAATGTTTTGCATGATTTTCAGTAAATTGTTTTATCTATAATGATGTATAGCGGAAAATATTTAGTACGGTTGCACAAATATGTAATATAAATATTATCAGGACTAACATAGTTGTGTTGCTCTTGATTTTATGTGTGGTTAGAGTATTGTCAGGTTCTGTGTATCCTGTTGCAAGGCTAACCGGCAGTAGCCGCCAATCAGCGAACGTACAATTTAAAAATTCAATGCAATCTTTCAACAAGGAGTGAACTTTTGCAAGTGTAAATTTACCCATTGATGACCTGTGCATATTTGCATATTTGCATATTTGCATATTCGTCTATTTTAGTGACTCGGTTTAAAGCTTTGTGTTAGGTATTTTATTTAGATGCGAACATAGGTGTAGTAAACGCAGTATACTGTATACGCTGTATATTTCGCGGTGGTTTAATTTTCGCGAATTTTGCGAACGCGGCCCCGACCGCGAAAAGAGCAACACGCTTTTCTTCACTAATTCGGGAATTCACCGACCGTGAAATTAACCACTCGAGAAATTGTCCGTCAAGTCTGAATTTGCGAAAATATCTGTACGCGAAAAATATGGCGTATACAGTAGTGGTTTGACATGTTTACTCTTTTTAATGCTTGTATTCCTAAAATATGACGCAGGTGACGAGGAGAGTAGCACTGATAGTGAACCCGTGCAACAGCAACCACTGTCGCTAGCATCCACGTCCTCGTTAGTGCACCAACGCCAGCAGCTTGTTACCGCCACTGGTCTGCAGATGAACACGGCCAATGAGCGTCAGCGTCAATCGCAGGTGCGCACACCAGGTGGCAGCAGTGGCTCGGACAAGTTGGCGAATCAACAGGTACTGTTGCATGTTTTTCGCGTACAGATATTTTCGCAAATTCAGACTTGACGGACAATTTCGCGAGTGGTTATTTTCGCGCTCGGTGAATTAAGAATTATTTGGTATTATTCGGTATGAATTATTCGCGAGTTGTTATTTTTGCGGTCAGGGACGCGTTCGCAAAATTCGCGAAAATTAAACCACCACGAAATATATAGCGTATACAGTAATACCCATGCCATCGACATTCGGTAGGAGTAAAGCGTAAATACATTCAGCGTGACTACATTCAGCGTGACTACATTCAGCGTGACTACATTCAGCGTGATTGCGATGGCATATCAGATACGTGGCGTTGTGCTTCCTTGTTGCTGAGAAGTGTTTCCTTATTATGCCGCACAGCGTAAAAGACAAAGAGGGCGTGGAGAAATCTGGATCCCTAGATACAGATGTGGAACATATGCCATTCTGATCACTCTCTACAACAACATGCAGGTATGCCTGTTTAATAACACCGAATCCTTCCAAAACCGTCTATCATTGTCACCATCATTATATGTAAATATATATACATACTTGAGGCCAGTAGTGAGAAAGTAATGAGTAAAGTAAAGTATAGTAATTAAAAGTGAAGTAGTGAGAGAGTAGTGAGAAGTGGTCATTGCCAATGATGTGATCCTATCCTTATTACAGGAATCGGAGAGTAAGGGCTGGATGAGTAAGGTTGAGCTACAGACAAATGCTCAGCCTCTTTGTGATAACTCATTCACACAGGTATTGTACACCCAGATTAAAAGTATCTATTTGTCATAAATTATAATACAGAGTAATAATGGACGGGGCACAAAAGTGTTGAGGCTACTGGATCACCAAACACTGAAGTCATCAAGTCATCCATCCTACACTGCTATGATACTTATTTTGAACATATACCTACTGTTTTGTTCCTTCCTTTCTTCTAATACGTTTATGCCTAATATAGACCAATTGTTTCTTTATCTGTATCTATTGCATCTTATTCAGTCTGACTGTATCAGAATAATCTCTATCCCCTGCCAGAAAAACAATATTATTATATATATATTATTATGGAGCGTGAAAAGACCCCCTATGGTGTCCTAGGGGAGTCATTATTAGTCCTCCTGTACTTTTCAAATCTGAAAGCCTGGATACCAGATCTTTCGGGGGGATACCAAATTTCAAATACCTGAATAGTGTACGTGTACCGCCAACACTGGTATAGAAAGCTCAGGTTATTGATTTTATAGAGGTTGGACACCGGACAACCACGGAAGCAATTTGTAGTTGCCCGAGAGAAAATCCAGTCGTCACGGACGACCGGACGACTGTTAAAATTGAGCCCTGCCCTGGAGGACATAGACCCTATGAGCAGTACTATAGCCCGCGTACAGTTGCCGCAGGGCTATAGAACATTCTATGACGAATCTTCGGGACCAACTTATTCACTGTTAATCACTGCTATAAATCGTCTGTGGTAGGCAATTAATCAGGAGTCTATCAATATTGATATCAATATTGATAGACTCCTGAATTAATGCACATAAATATATGTGTCAGCTAGTGTGCAGCAGCTAGCATGCGACAGCCAGCTTGTGTTGCAGGTAAGCATTTGGACCGCATTTACAGGAAATTGTCGGCAATAATAGGTGAAAGAGAGTAGAGAAACATTAAGACTTTGGTAGTAAATAGATTTATTTTACTATTATTTAGTAGATAATATAGTATATGTATATATTTAGCATTATATTTTATTGAAACGCTCCAAGTGCCTGTGGTGCCACTGAGGTCGGCCAACTCGGCTTGTAGGTAGAGAGATAAAGATTTATTTCGACAATTAACAAAGTATACATTAGAACGATAAGAGCATGAAGTGTGTTGTGGATGTAGATGAGATGACCCGCCTGGATATCGGGCAGCTCAACTCAGACTACACGCAGACTGTTGATTTATTTATTATGATTTATT